AACTTAAAATATCGAAAAATATACAGCGCGCGAATTTTAAATGAGAATTTCCGAAAACTTTTCGGTCTTAATGTATTCACTTAGCGAAAAATGAGGCTCATCACTAAAGAAAATTTGATGTGAAATGTACCTACTACAAAGTAATATCTAACACTGAAGCGACAGTCCCTAACTATTGTATTCCATATCAGTAGACTACAGTGGTAACGAGAGACTGTGCATTGGATATAATGTTTCTTAAATGAATGTGTTTTAAGAAGTATACATACAGATATTTTCATCTAACGATATAAGAATAATATACGATATATGAGAGCTATTCGTCATTAAGTCAAGAGCGATAGAAGAGTACATTTACAACTTTTGCCATCATAAAATAATTGCAATTGTTTCGAAACAAATACAATAAAAACTTCAAAAGCGTATAACATAATGAAAAAATATTTCAAATCTCATAATATGTGTAATATTTAGTAAAAGTCACATATACGAAAATACAACACCCCAACATTTATTTAAGCATGTTCACATTTTAAGATAAAAAACTAATAAACTTGGGTCGCAGTAAATGCTACGAACAATAATAAAGTTTTTAATCTTAAGTGCATAGAATTAAAAGTAATTAAAAAAAATCAAATAAAAAATTAAAAAATTATTAAGCAATAAAATTGTTATAAAAAACGATAAACCATTTATTGAAATTCAGTTGATTGTCAAGTAGAAGTTAAATGGAAATAAAAAGTTCCAATTAGTTAATGTGGAAATGTGGAATCTAAAAAAATAAGAATGTTAAATATTATTTTCATAATGTATTAATTTTTTATTATAAACTATAAATATGATTATCACCGTGATCCTAGATACTGTGTCCAAAGAATCAGTGTAAGGTCACATGAAGCACATATGACAATCCCTTAAGATTTACAAAAAAAAACTTCTCAACTTACACGAAATTCTTTAGAAAATGAGTTTTCACAAAATGAAAAAACATATGTGTAGCTTATTAACAATCCCACTATTTCTGCGGTATATCTCAATAAGATTGCTTACACAAATCTGTATATCGTTAATAATCACCTTCTTCTAAATAGTATAAATGCAATTATATGTATAAATTTTTAATATATTTTGTTACAAATATTTACTTATATTCTTTTAATTTAAAATAATATAACAAAATATGAAAGAGGAATTTTAATATTATTACTACATAGCTTAGAATGTATTTGCATATATATATCTTGTATTTGTTATTTTTTTCGACAATATTCATTCGCTTCTGTTCATTTAACTAGCATATAATGTAAATTATAATTAATAATTATTTAATTCTTTAAAAGCAGACGAAATTTGTTATCACAACTGACCAAATTAGAAAGAAATACTAATTCCATTAAGTGTTCTGATTACTTAAAGATACTCGTATGATATGATAATAAATCAATAAATAAATAAATAATAATAATAAATTAATAATAAATTAGAAAGTAATAATAAATTATAAATTAATAATAAATTATAAATTAATAAATTATTTAAATCTGCTTTATCAGTAGCTACACACATTTAACTAACATATTTAATAAATATTTAGACTATTATTAGGACATTAAAGCTACTAGATTAAGAAGGATATTGGTACACTACGCTTTAAAATAACTATTGTGATAAAATGCGACTGAAAGTTCACTTCTTAATGTTCTTGCATTCCTTCTGTTGGAAGTGTTTATTAAAAGAGAAAAATTATTAGAAAAACATGGTGTTATTTGATATATAAGGTAGTATCAATATTGCCTATAGTGACTATTTTTATCAGTTCCGATCCAGATTCGTTATAGTTGCTTAAATTCTATATTATTTCATTTTATTTCTCTCTACCGGTTATATTTCCTTTTCACCATTTTAGCTTCAATTTTTCTTTCTATTTTTTCCATTCTATGTTGATTTTCAATTAATATTCTCTACTTGCTTCTATTTTTTTATATCACTCCATATCTATCAATTTTTTTTATGACATCTTGAACATTTGTGATAGCTCTATGTAACCACTACTATATATATATAAATTTAGTACTTACTTTATATTTACCATTCTTCTTTATTTCCAAATTCCCCACTTATATTTGTTCCAATAAGAACATAATTCTTACGCATTGATATATTCAGGATACAGAAATTACCATTTACCCTTTTTACAATATGTGTAAAAATATGTGACATTCATTCTGTTTTTAATAGATTTGCTATTAATTTTATTGCTTTTGTTTAATTGTCAAAAATAAAAAAAAATGTATTAAAAAATCATTTTTCTCATTTTAAATTACTTTGGCAATTGTGGTAAAAATTATATTTAAAAGGCAGATATGCATAGTGCGAACCACGTTTGAGGAACCAAGGGCCTGTTTACTCGGTAAAGCTACTTTTATTTCGCTGGCACTATCGGTAAATTTTTGTTCGTTATATTCAGATAATATTCTTATCGAGCTTAGCTCAATTTGCCAATTTAGTCCGAATGAACTTGCTTTCAACCATCGCACTCTTGCATACCTTAAAAATATTCTTCACATTTCGCCAACACACAAACGTCATAAATGTCCGTCAAAAGATTATTTTATAAGAATTTTTTACTTTTTGTTCTTGTTTTTTGTTTATGCGCCCGATTACAATGATACGTATACGATCCGTTAGACAAAATCGACCACTCTGTCGGTCGTCAGTTTAAAATTGAGCATGTGTGCGAATTTCGAGAGCTTTAACGAACGATATGTGTGCGTTTTACTGCATAGGTGAGTTGTGTGTGGTAAAGTTGAAAATAATTTTTGAAAATGTTTTGGCATTTTAGTAGTCGAATTGGTAAGAGCGAACGCGGTCGTTTGCGGTGTAAATAATTGTAATTGCACAATTCGCGTTTATAAATAAATAATATTTATAGTTTTGTGTAAAAAAAAATACTAAATTTAACGTAGACGGATCAAGTGCGTGGGTTGAAAGTTCGTGCCGGACAATACATGAAAAAATTGCGAAATTCTATTTTGTACTGTACTTCACTGTAATCACTGAAGTTTTTACCTTTTCCGAATTCACTCAACTCAATATTTAGCAAAAATACCTAAGCAGTTGCAACGAAATTTCAAGTAGTTAAGAACAGAAATTAGTACGGTAACAATTACAAACTAAAACAAATTCAACAAATTCAACAAATTCAATTACGAAAGCCTTTACAAGAAAGAAAAAAATTTTGAGGCAAAGAATTAATGTTTGAAAAATATTTGAATGTGCAAAAGTGCACTTGAATGAAAAATGTGAGTAAATTTACATTTTAAATTATCTACAAAATAATTATAGTAGCAATATTCTTGTAGTGCTTACTTATTTATATTGTGTTTATGTATATATATATATGTGTATGTATATAATTAATAGCAATTTTTACCCTGTATTTATCTGGTTTTATTTTATGCTGCCAATTCACTTGCTTCCTATTTTGACGCGTTGAATGTCAGAACCTTTTAAAAATTTTATTTATTATTTACAAATAAAAATATTTTTATAAAAAATATTTAAAAATACAAATATTTCATACATACAACTATAATGTTTTAAATTAAAAATTTTGTACATCATTAAGATTATTCTTTATTTTGAAACAAGGAAGATAAATATCTTGAGAAACTTTGTCCTTTGATTTAAACTTACCACAATTTTGTGGTGAAAATATCAGTGAAAATTAATGTTTTTTAACGGATAATTTTTAACAATATGAATTGTGACTTATAAAGTAAACATACTGGATTTTAATTTTACTTTTTATTTGATAAATTTGACTACTATTTTTTCATTTGAAATAATCTTGGCATACATTGAAAGTCATTTTATAAAAACAGTTTTATTGGATAATTTACTTTTTTATCTCTATATTTTATATTATATTTAACATGTAAAGGTATATGTTTCTTATTTAAACCAATATCATTTGCTTTATAAATTAATGGTTTTAGTATCTCGAAGAACCTTGCCTGCTACTCGTATCTTACAGTGCCTTTTGAAAACTAAATTTAAGTAAAATTTAGAACCTCGATAGGTTCTATGAATAAAAAAAGGAGGAAATATGTAGGGAACATAGAATAGTTTAATTAATTGAATCGACCAAACTACATTTGGTTGAACTGAAGTATTGTGATTTCAGATATTCAGTACTCTGTTACAATGTATAACATGTATTTTTCAATAATATCAGTTATTTTCTGACTACAAACCTTTCTTGATCAGTCGGTATTTTGATAATGATTTCATTTTTAATTCGTTCTTGATGCCGCTGTCTGATAAAGAAAATAAATCGATTATTTAGTATTCTTGTCATAATTTAACAGAAAACGTCTTTTTGAAAACTCAAATGTCTAGTTACTGTAGCTATTGTTTGGAGTTTTTCTAATCTCAAGTAATTATTTACAAAAAAATGAATTGGAAATATATTTCAATCGACTTTTGATTTTTTCAATATATTTGATATATTAGACATTATCAAAAATTGTCTAATGGATTTTTGCTATAATCTAGTGTTTCGTAAATCTTTAAAGAGACTATGAAAGACAAAAATTATATAAATTTTCATGAAAATAAAACACGTTTTAGGTATTGAAGTAAAAAATCCTTTTCAGACACTATGATTCGATTTTTTACATTATAGATTAATAGCTCTGATGTCAATTTAACTACTAGTTCCTTAAATAGATATGTGTTTGTTATTATATTACCACCTTTCAATAATGATATTGAAAAATATTTTACAATACACATGTTTAGCAGTAGGCTGAGTCTTATATAAGAATGTATATATATAATTATTTTACTTTAATCTTGTATGGATGTGTAATTCGTTTTTCCCCTTAAAAAACGATTTTCACCAAATCCGAAATGCATTTATTTCATGCATTTGACTTAAAATATTTTATTTTATTACATTTTTATTGGATCGTGATATCACAAAACAATTTCGGATAAAATATTGAAATTTAATTTAATTTATTATTTATTTAATATTTATCATTTAATTTTCCCAAAAACGCATTTCTTATGATTTTAAAATAAACAAGTTTTCTAATGAACTTTATTATGACCGCCACTGTCTCTGTTATGCTTTGACCTTTAGATATAATGGATTATTAAAATCTAAAGTTAATATATTCACAGCAAACTATTATTCTGCATTATCCTACTTGTTCGAATTGCTCTCGATACGCCACGAAAACCTTGACCATGGATGGTATTCGTTGTTCAGCCAATAAGTGCAGAACGCACTGAAAACTATGGTAAATGGAAAATGTCAACCATTAAGCAAATTATGCACAGAAACAACTATAAAAATTTTATATGTCATGAAACGTTTTAATTATTTTTTAATTTGTATTTCTAATATTTTTTTGTGATAATTAAATCGTTAAAAATTAAATTTATTCTAAAGGTAAAATTTTTAAGAAGAATCGCAATATTTAACTTATATTTCAGGACTTACAGTTTTAGTGATATTGGAAATGAATTATGATTTTTATGATCATGACTCTTAGTGTTCGTCTTTATGATTTATCAGAAAATTTTAGAGTTAAAGAAAAAATCCATGCTACCATGAAAATGTTGTATTAAAATAATTATCACATATATGTAAAATATTTATTATTTTTCTAACCAATAATACAGTTTATACGACTAAAAAATTAAAAAATCGAATGGAGTCCTTGCAGTCCGGTAATTGTTTATATGCAGTAACAACTAACAGTTGCTGCATAGGTCAGGCACAGTTTTTTGACGCCACCGTTTGAAGTGAAACGGCCATTTGAGAAAAACCCGGACAATGTTAAGCATATCTTTTGCTGTAAGGTTTAGCTGTCACGAAATTTTCGTTCTTAATGTAAACAAGAATTTTGAGTATAATTTTTTTGTGATTTGATTCAAATCAAAATCTTTTTAACAAAAGTTTTAAAAACTAATTTTTCCTTTGTAGTTTCGTATGTCTTCATAACAAAGCAGTAGTTTAAAAGTAACGGTATGGCATATTCTCTATTATCACTGTGTCCCTAAAAAATTATGTAATAAAACTTTTTTTATTGCGGTTCCATATTTTCTTGTTTGAATGTCAATTAAATCATGATTTAGGCTGACTATGGTCTTCTAATAAAAACGGTTTTTATTAACACTAAAATGTTCTAGTTATCTTAAAAAGCAATATTTGTTGTACTATGTTCCACTCTATTATTATTATTATTAAATAATAACAAATAACTCAACAATCACATCAAATTCTATTAATTTTTATTTAAAACTAATATTTTTTTTATATTAAAATCAAATTCTTAGAATCAAATTGAAAAAATGTGAATAGAAATAAAAAATTGTACCAAGTCTTATAACAATTCGCATATAATTGAATAATTTTATTTATACATAAAAACACATTTAAAAAAAGTAAATTTATTTTGCAAGTGCAAGTTTAAAGACAACAAAATATTTGTTATACGAATTATGGCGGGACACTTGTCAAGATCTGTGCGTCTACTTAACACAGCCAATAATTTTTCCCCTTCTCATTCTTCGCCCTATTTTTTCCATATATATTGTTGAAAATATTTTCCTCACACTAATATTTTCTTTTATGTTATGTTTTAGTTTTTGTTTAGTTTAAATTAACAAAAATCGGTGACAGATAAAGCCACCACAGCATGTGTAAGCTGGCAGTCTAGTATTTGTTTCCAATGCAATCAAACTGTTTATGCAAAAATATCGCCTGACTATTTATATATCTGCTTGTTTTTTTATTAAAAATTATTGTTTAATTTTGCTGCAATTTTATACAAAAATATACTATGCTTCACGTATGAATAACATTCTTTCCAGTGGAAATGTAATTTAATTTATCACAATTTCTTTTATACTTTCTTTACGGGTAAGCTTCTGAAATGTATTAGTTGCAATTTTAAAGAAAAATTTTTGGTTGCAATAAATAAAATCAAATTTTTTATTGTGTGATTGTTATTGCATATATAATCTGAACATTCATTCAGTTTTTATATATTATTTGATTTTTAATTATATTTTTCTAACAATTTAACATAAGAGCCATAAATATTATGCAGAAATGCCAAAATAAATGACAGTCTTGAGCAAAATTTATGTCTGTGATTTTAAAACTTATGTGTAGAAATTGACATAGTAATGTTTTGCAAATTATTTTTCAATATAAAAAACATATATGTTTCCCTGTAAACATTTTACAAACATTTATCGATATTTTTAAAGTGTCTGCTAAATTTATTATAATCATTTAAAAAAATTTTTAAACAAATAGTTTATTATTATAGATTACTATTATAGATTAATTATTAATAGAAATAAATAACTAAACTATTGCATATTGATTCTTATAAATATATATTACAATAAACAAGAGTTTCCATACTGACGAAAATATTTTCTGCCACGATTCATAGCAAACATTTTTCACACTACTGTTACGCATCTTTTTCTAAAGCTTAAGCAAATCGCTCGCAAATCGTAGAAGTCATTGTATATTATGAACATAAAATAGAAAAAAAACTTACATAGAAATGTATAACAGCAGTTTTGAGTGGCATTGGCCAATTTCTGCTGCCAATATGGCTCAGTTCGCTGCGTGCCTTTGTCGTTTGTGTTTGTCGATAGTTCGTGTTAACCGTTAAAGTGGACTAATTTCTGAAATAAAATAATATTAATATACAGTGTATGTATATAAATATAGAAGCAAAGATACATACAAAACAGAAATTATGTTAATTTTAATTTTTTAAGAAAATTAATTTTGAATTTGCATTGAACTAACTTGAAAACTTAACAAATATATGACGAGAGATTACTGTAATTATATACACCACCAATAACGAGGCATGTGTTGAAAAAATCTTAAACAAAATTATCGCACAACGAATGAAACAAACTGAAATCGAAACGAACTTAAACAAAAATTGTTAAATTTAAATGACTAAACAAAACAACAACAACACAGCTTAGCCAAAGCGATTGTAGTATTGCTACGGTTCCGTATCCGTCAACAGTAACGGAATGTGATCGTTGATATTTTTGTAGAAACTTAAATTCAAAACTTATAAATAATTTTTAAATTGTGCTAAAGTAAGATATTTAATCACTCAATGATTAAAACTAATACTTAAGTTTGTGTCAAATAAATTCGATAAATAATTGTTAAAGCTAAAGCAATGTAAAGTAAAGTAAAGAAAAAATGTTGACTTCAATATTTTGCAATTATTAAAATGCT